TAAATACTGTTTTAATACTAGATCTTTCTAATATTCTATTGGTACATGCATATACTATAACTACTCTAATTTTGAAAGCAGCCACCAACCTGAGGCATGATTGCAGATATTTGACTATAATACTATGTTTACTTTATGGCAATGGTGTGATTTAGCCTGTGTTGAAAAGAACTCAGGCTTAATCACCACCTGAGTCAGAGAAAGGTAGAGAGAGAGACAGAGAGCATGCCCAAAGCCAAGCCAAGCTGGATTGACAGGGCTTACAGTGATCTGAGAGACTGGATTCTCTTTTACTCAGCACGGGACCTCTTGGAAGAGCTAGGACCTTTCTGCTAACTGCCAGAAAGAGGGGTCCAAGGTCACATTTCGGAGTCATGGAGGTCAAAATATGCTAAGTCGACTCAAGACATTAAGACTCAACTAGGACTATATAGCCACTCAAAATGCATTAGTTATGCTATAAATTTTGGAAACAGTGTGTGGACACTGAGACAACCATAAGAAAAGTGGATTTATTGAAGAAATAATCAAGTTTCGACTGAGGAGGAGAGTTTCTAATTGTCTGTGTATCAATCAAACATCAGAATGATGCCATTGGACATTTCGCTAAAGGCAAGTGCTGTTTATGACACTATATATATATATATTTGTATTATGTGTATATAATATGCTAATATGCCTTACCTTAAAGCTAGGGGCATTGCCAGCCACATCATTATTCTCAAGTACCTAAAAGGGAACAAAAATACAGCATATTGGGCATCAGCATATTTTAAGTTGAATTATACAATCAGATCACATAATTTCCTTTTTGACACATTTCTGAAGTTCTCTGGCGTTTTAAGTACCTTAAGTGAAGGAATGTTACTTAAGAGTGCTGATGGTCTTCACTGATTTAATATTCATTACTGCTGCTCTAAAAGAATAAGCAATGTTGATCTTACATTTTTATGCTCTTAACAATGTCTTCCCTTACAAAATATCTAGTATATCACTTAATTCTTAGGCTAAATTGAGTCCTCTTCATGTCTTATTATATGCAATATCTGAGATATAAAAAGAACAGATGAATTTTTAAGTATAGATACTGTCAAAAATAGCTCTCATTAAAAATCAAGATGCAAAAAATAAAATAAAATAAAATAAATAAATAAATAAAAATGTCCTGACTGTCTACAGAACACACCAACCTCCGTCCTGAAACTGAAACCTTTATTTTTAGGATAGCTGTGTATAGAGTGATCTCCAACCAAGTGTAAGTGTTAAGCAACAGCTATAATTATAACATATTTCTTAAGGTCAAAGACTGTGCTGCGGTGAACGATAAGACGTTTCCTCAAAAGGACGAATGAGCATAGTTTTGTCTAAATACAATTTACACTGAGTCGGACTCATTTGCTACAGAACATTAGCTGTGAGCATCACAGGTTTGTAATCTTGGTGAACAAAAAAAGAAAACATTCAAGTCATGATGACCTGTGAAAAATAGACTTTCTATTTTGGAGGTCTAAATGAAGAAGTAAAAAGTATTATTTTGCCTTAGAAATGTAACTTGAGCAAGAGTGCAAGCATTCAGTTTCAATAACACTCAAGTAAAGCGCAAATTATCCAAAATAAAACGCAAGTATATGACGACCTTATAATTATGACCTTTTTACTTTGGAGGTCTAAATGAAGCTGTAAGGAGCAAAAATGCAATTACTGTAATTTTCAATTGCCATAGGTCCCAACTCCAGTGAAACCCCCTAAAAAATTATATCTTAAGTATAGCAAAGAAGTACTTTACACCCCTGATGAACTCACCCACTTATTAGACATCATCACGTTCGGTCATGAAATGAACTTGAAGTGGCTTGAAGCATGAAATGATATGTGAGTGAGCTGGTTTTTAGTGACCAATCAGCTAGGTTGAATTAAAGGCACACCTCCATGTAGTGACCTTCATTACACTTGCAATGTTTACAGCAGTTTACACTTTGAGGTCACAGTGAGCTAGAAGTGTAACCTCACAGCACACTCACTGTGTCCTCATACTATGGTCACTATGTGATGTCACAGTGAGCTAAAAGTGTAAACTCACAGCGCACTGACTGTGAGCTCATACTGTGAGTTCATCATGCGAGACCATTGTGATATTGCTGTGTTAAACTCTAATTCCATTATTTTAGTGTGAATTCACTGTAGTGCTGGGAGATATACCAGTTCAAACGATGAACCGGGTTGAATTATGCACATGGTATGAAAAAAACGTAGACAGCATCATTGATTGAGAGGAGATCCTTGTTAACTACACTTCTGACTAATATAGTTTATATTTTATTTCCATCAACAAAGTATTTCAAAAAATCCAATTCCTTTGTTTATTTTCTATTCTTTTTTAACCTGGTGTTGGCATTTGACATTTGACCAGCTCAATATTTTTAATTCCCAATGAGCTCACATACTACTCACACACAGTGTTGGGGAAAGTTATTTTTAAAAGTAATGCATTACAATATTGTGTTACTCCCTAAAAAAGTAACTAATTGCGTTACTTAGTAATGCGTAATGCGTTATATTACTTTTGCGTTACTGTTTTTAATATAAGAAGTTCTATTTATAGCAAATATAAAAGCCCTTTCACACCAAAAGGTGTAATGAATAAACCTCAGGCTGAAGCAAAAGTAAATTCACGTCTGTACAGTAGAACGCAGGAGAAGAAACACTCTTCATCAATAAAAAAAACAAAGCACAATTGTTAGTTTCTCTAAAGTCATTTTTGCTTATTTTGTATAGTTGAACTGGATCATCACAGGTCAGCAGCAAAGACATTGGTTAATAAAATGGGATTAGATACATTTATGTTAACATATTTAATTATAGCAGGTTTGCGTCATATTCTGAGTTGACATTTCACTGGTTTAATTTATTTTGATGAATACTAAATCTGTTTTTTTGTGAGTGGGATGAATTAATGCACATTCACATTTAGTCTAGAACTACAGTAATATCATGTTCACACAGCGCACACAAGGCCTCTGTACTCCCGATTTCTCCCAATATGGGAACAGGAGAGCTGTCAGTCAATAAATGGGAAAACAAAGTAACTGGCATTACTTTTTTGAAAAAACAATTAGTAATAATAAATACTTTTTTGTAGCTATTATACATCAAGCACAGTAAAACTGTGAAAAACCTAATCATAATAAACAATATTTATATATAAAACAAACATATATATATATATACCCTGCCGGTACGAGACTCGAACCCACAACCTTTGGGTTATGAGTCCGACTCTCTAACCATTAGGCCACGACTTCCCCACTATAATAATAATGAACTAATAATGTAACACTTTAACATACATTAGCATGATAAGAAGTACCTAAAATGATGGAAACCATCTTTGGGAACATTTTATTTGAAATGTAATTTGATTGTTTAGTTTAGCTCACATCTTATTTGTTTACATGGAGAGTAGGGCTGCATGATAAATCGCATGCGATATTTAACACGCATCTTGTCAGTAAAGCCGTTCTGTAATCAGTGGTAGATCTCCATCACGGGTGGGCTTTCGCATGGAGCAGCATTAACTACACAGAGCCGTTGTTCACTGACGAGCTGCGCAAAACATGCGCAAAATATGATCGTGGTTTTGCTCAGCTTGTCAGTGAACAACGGCTCTGTGTAGTAAATGCTTCTCTATGTGAAAGCCCGCACGTGATGGAGATTTACGGCTGATTCCAGAACAGGCTTTACTGACAAAATGCGCGTTAAATATCGCATGTGATTTATTGTGCAGCCCTAATGGAGAGGTAGGAGTTTATGACCTATATTGCAGTCAGCCACCAGATGGTGATCGAAATGTTTTGACTTCACTTTCAGGTTGTGTGTGGCACATGTACTCTGTACCGTTTGTGCTGTTGATACAAATAAAAGTGTGGTTATTGTTTGATAAATTTCACAGGTGAAATAGTCATTTGATCGAGAATTTCGAGGAGGAAAGATTTTCCCATGTAGATTTAGCGTGTAAAATGTAAATACATATAGAATGTAAAATCATCAACATTTTAGTTTCGTTTAAAGTTTACAATGACAAGCCATTTTTTCTTTATAGAATAACATAATATAGAAGTACTGATAAAGTGTAGACATTAAAGGTGCAGTCACATTAACCTTTTTGGCAATTATTTGTGGGCAAAGTGTGGTCATTGCAATAGGTATCCACACAATGCATGAGGACTAAGGATTTAACTTTGCAGATTTTGCTAGAGTTTCAAGTTTGTCTGAAAGCTTGGTTCAAAAGTGACTTCAATGTGAGCTGTTTCATATATTGCTATACTATTGACAATGGATCGTTTTAGCTCATGAATCTTCACTAATGTGACTGCATCTTAAGACCAGGAATGTGCGTTACAATCAATCAGATTTTGATATCTTGTAGATTTTTACTGCTCCTTTCCCCCTTAGATTGACAGATGTTGTTCCTCAGCAGGTTGTGAAGCTAACTAATATTACAATAACTAATATTATTATTTTTGTTTGGTTAAACTGAAGTAACCTCTAAGAGCATCTGAGAACATTGACTCATTCCAACCCAGCAGCAGAGATGCTTCTTAGCATTCAAACCTAGAGGCAAACACTGTCTGATCTGTCATCAATGAAGTCCTGCTCTCTCCTCATGATGTCTCTGACCTGATGTGCTTTCTGTGGTGACCAGACCACTAAGCTAACAGGAGACAAAAGCTGCTTTCATTTATAGCTATTGTTCTTATATGAAGGCAACCGCAATTTAGGTGAATGCAAAAAGTTTTTTTAAGTATGTTAAAAGAGATGATAGCAGCAGACTTATATGAGATATATATATATATATATATATATATATATAATATATACACATACTGCCTCAATATGCTCAGACACACGGTCATGGTGACTCAGAACAAGTAGGTGTTGCTTTGCAAACTTTCTGTTTGACTTTATTGTTGGGATGGCATCTGGCGAGACCCAGGTCCTCTATGACTGTAGCCACTGTAACCATAGTAACACATTCCTCTGTTGCAGGTAAAGTTTATGTATCGCACATTTAATTTAGTTTACTCATTAATGATTGGTCTTTTATGCAAAAAAAAAAAAACATTTAGGTCTGTCATTGGTGAATGTTTTCTTGCACACTTAGGTCCAAGTTCATTCATTTGATGCCATTCTGGCTGACAAGGAGTCGATAATTCAGGAGGTCAGTCCATCTTGTGTATCACCAAGACAATGATTTGATATGAAAACTTAGACACAAAGTTGAGTTGTTTATAAAACTTTACAGAAGAATTTAGCTTTTATTTAGTTATTGCTAAAATCATTCAGTGTTATTATTTATTTGGTATGTTTATAGAATCTGCAATCATGTTAAATTATATTTGTCCAGTATCATAACAGAAACTGCCTTCTTTCTTTTCTAGAAAAATAAACAGATCGATGAACTGAAGGTGGTCATTGTGGAATATTCCTCAGTTACAGAGGTGAACTCCAATTCTCTTTTTTTCTCTCTTCGTGTCTAATATCAGTAATCTGTCATTTTTACCACAGCGCTGTTTTTAATGCTGCTTTGGCTAAGTTGTTCAAGGGTGACCACATTTTATTTAGATATCATATTGCCATGCCCATGTCTGTCCAAATTGTTAGTTTCACATAAATAGATCTTCAAAGAGCCATACAGCCTACTACAAAGAACTCAACAGTAAAGATTTATCCTTTGGCAGACAAGTATCTATAATTTCACACAAGGACAATAATTTATATTTATACCAATATATTTTCTAGAAATATTTCATTAAACATTTCTGATTTGTTTTTAGCTGATGCTTCCAAGACTATCACAAGCTATTTTTGCAATCTGCTTACAAACTAGGCAACAGTATTTGTGTGCCAAATAAGCAAAATTTGCAACAGCAATTTAAAATCCATCACAGAAAACCAAATGTTTAAGTTTGCAAGGCTTAAAAATGGATGTATCGTACGAAAACTTTCAGTGGCAACACAGCGCTTCCCAAAAAGCTTCTAACACTTCCCCTGAGCCAGTATCAAAGAATCCTGGAAAAATTTGTTTCCGCAAAGATATTAAGCAGCACAGGTATTTTCATCATTAATAAGAAAAGTTTCTTATGCACCAAATCGGCATATTAGAATGATTTCTGAAGGATCGTGTGACACTGAAGACTGGAGTAAAATATATTAAAATAGTTTAAAAATATTTTTTAAATTGCAATAATATTTCATGATTTTACTGTTTTTCAAAAACAGTAAAATCCCCCCCCCCACGTTTGAATAATAGTGTATATACAGTTTCTTTGGAAACACTTTGGAATGTGACGACTGTCTATGAAAACATACGATAGAAGTGTATAATAATGTGGCAAATCATGTATTTGGCTGAGAGCCACAGCAGACAACTTTCTCTCTTTGACTTTCTCCCTCAGAATGCTGAATCAGTGGTGTAAGAAAGTTCTACACGCAAATGATTTAGAAACTAAAGCCTGAAAAATTATTGTAGATAAGGAAGTGTACATGTGATAACTGTGGAATAAGTTAAATCTCCCCCAGAGTGTTTAATTATTGTGTATGTGTTAATTTGGCTTGCTTCAGCTGTTGAGAGCAGACAAGATCAAACTGGAGAGTCAAATGCAAATGATGCAGCCTGATATGACAATGTAAGAGCTCTATGTACTGCACTTAACACAGCAATGAAAATACTAGCTGATTAACTGACCTTATTAATGGCAAGCATAATACTTGCACAAACATCAGAAATGACTTCACATGTTTTTCTAACTGTATATGTATGTGTTTGCAGCCCAGGTCTTTCTCTCTCTGTGGCCTACAGACTAAATCAAATGAGTTCAGGTTCTCTTCAGACGGAGTTGGCTCTGGCACAGAATCCCGTGGAGGTTTGCAGTGTTTTGTGTGTGTTTGCAATTCACTTGTCTATCTTTGTCCCGTCCATGATTTGGAGTGTCTCTTCTCTCCACTCCCACCAACACTCATGTGCTGTTCTCTGTCCGCCCACTCTCTCTCCCACTCCACTGCCATAGAGTGCACTCAGTAATCCACACCCTCTCAGTGCTTTACACCAAACTTTAGGCATTACAATGAGCCTGACTACATGTGCTTTATTTCACAATTTTTTATTTATTTATTTTTTGCTGTGGTAGATTCCATTGTCGTAGCTGGCGATAACTGTATACTAGGGTTGGACCCGCTTTTACCTTCAAAACTGCCTTAATTCTTCATGGAATCACACAGTTGCTGCAGATTTGTTGGCTGCACATCCATGTGGATCTCCTTTTCCACCCCATACCAAAGGTGCCCTATTGGATTGAGATTTGGTGATTTTGGACACCATTTGAGTATAGTGAACTCATTGTCATGGTCAAGAAACTGGTTTGAGATGATTTGGGCTTTGTGACATGGCATGTTATTCTGCTGGAATTAGCCATCACAAAATAGGTACACTGTGGTCATGAAGGGATGGACATGGTTAGCAGCAATACTCAGGCAGGCTGTGGCATTTAAACAATGCCCAATTGGTACTAAAGGGCACAAATTGTGCCAAGAATATATCTCCCACACCATTATGCTACCAGCAACCTGAACAGTTGATGCATAATAATAATAATAATTTGTTACATTTTATATAGCTCTTTTTTGGTTACTCAAAGCGCTTTACACAGAATGGGGGAATCTCATCCAATCTATTGTCCAATTTTGGTGAGCTTGTGCAAATTGTAGCCTTAGTTTCCTGTTCTTTGCTGACTGGAGTGGCACCCAGTGCAGTCTTTTGCCGCTACAGCCCATCTGCTTCAAGTTTCGATGTTTTGTATTTTCAAAGATGATCTTCTGCAGACTTTGGTTGTAACAAATGGTTGTCTATCTATCTATGGCATTAAAATATGAATAAATAAACTATAAAAATATTTTTAAAATATTTATATTAAAATATTTTGAATGTTATAATATTATAAAATATTTAACATCATGCATGTCTGTGTATTTTTAGGGTTTGGAGCATCTGTCCTCCTCTGTTTGTTTTGCATCTTCTTTGGATGAGACTCTAGATCGTGAGGTTCTTCTGCTTCTTCAAGGCCCGACTCCAGAGCAGCTTTCTCTGGAATTTAAAACTCTGATCAGCAGACTGGTAACCAACTAACCAGCCATCACACTCAAATTTTTTTTTAAAGGGGTCATATGATGCGATTTCAAGTTTTCCTTTCTCTTTGGAGTGTTACAAGCTGATTGTGCATAGATAAGATCCCTGAAGTTGCAAAGACTAAAGTCTTAAAACCAAAGAGATATTCTTTATCAAAGTTAAGACTCTGCCACGCCCCCCTAAAATGGCTCGTTCTAACACGCCCCCACATATCTTCCTCACTATGTGGGAATATTTGCATAATGCCACCCAAATGTGCAAGCAAAGAAAGAAGGCGTGGTCTTCCGAAAGTAGATGCATTTAGGAATCTTTAAGATTACTTACAACAGAACAGCAATGCATTTTATGGACGACCGTTTCGTGAGCCTAGGAGAGGAGGTAATTCTGACTTTGCTATGACAATCTGGCGCTTCTGAATCAGCTACTGTTTTGTTATTAGTTTAAGTATTTGCTATTGACTGTTCAAATGCGGAGTTTTGCGCATTGTGTGCGTGCGTGCGTGCGTGCGCGCGCACGCGCGAGAGAGAGAGCTGTGTGTGTGCGCGAGAGAGAGAGAGGCGTGCGTGCGAGAGAAATGCGGAGTTTTGCGCATTGTGTGTGTGCGTGCGTGCGTGCGTGCGCGCGCACGCGAGAGAGAGAGAGCTGTGTGTGCGCGCGAGAGAGAGAGGCGTGCGTGCGAGAGCGAGACACATCACAGTGGAGTCAGCTGTCTTAACCGTGGCTTGTGTACTGCAAACACATACCAGCTTCATCACTGTGTCTGTCACGCAACTCTGTTCCCCTTTCGGGCTCTGTCTTTACATTTATTTTGAAAGATGAAGCTCACGATTATGGTAAGGGGCGTTACATTTCCGACGCGTGCTTGCGGTGTTCGGCCAATCACAATGCACTGGGTCAGCTGGCCAATCAGAGCAGACTGCGCTTGTCGGAAGGAGGGACTTTGTAGAAAACAAAGCGTTTGAGAGAGGCGGGGCATAGAGGACCTACAATAATGTACAGTATTTAAAAAATAGTGTTTTTTGAACATTAAAGCATGTCAACATATTCTTTTACACCAAATACACAAAATAATGATCTTTAAAAAAGCATCATATGACCCCTTTAAGCAAACTGTATCTGTACAGTTAGTCTGATGTTAATTTTGCCGGCTTTCCATCTTTAGACACCTGAATGCTGGTTTTGTATGATGCTGGTCCATGATGTTTTGGAGTGTTCACAAGTGTGTAAAACATGACTTTTTCCAGAAAAGGGAGTTTAAGGAAGATGGCATCACCTGTCTCACAGCATTCAGAGGCCTTACAGAGAACAGTGAAACTCAGGAGATCAATACCGACTTCAAGATACAGGTAAGAGAGTTTCTTCAACTAAGTCAAATCGTAAAGTATCTATCAACAGTTATGCAAATTTTTGCACATATGTAAATAACTAATCATGATAAAAATTATATAGAGAGACACACGGGCATTTAAAAATGATATAAGAACTCCTCTCCCCTTATGTGAACTTTTATCTACCACATTGCATAACTGCTTGGCTGGACATGGTCACTCTTATTGTGTGTATTCAGTGGACCACATCAGTACGTGCGGTCTTCCCCGGTGGTAAACTATACAGGCCAATATTTCTCACTCCAATTCCCACGATGCACAGGGGTAATGTGTCGGGTCAGACTAACTCTGTTACTTTCCTTAAGATAGTCTTTGATGAAACGTTTTGATCTTATCGCATTCACTATGATTTAGTTGGTAGTAATGATTTACTGGTGCACTGTGTGTTGTATTTAGTCAGTGAGCCTCATTGTTGATCTTGTGAACTCTGGCAGGGCCTGGAGGTGCAGCTCGAGCAGAGAAGGAGTGACTGGACCCGCAGTCTAGAGCAGTTGGACCAGTACACAGACTCTCTGGAGAGGGAGCTTCTAAAGATGGCTAGCAACATGCGACGTTCTCGTACCGAGATCCTGCACCTGTCTGTCAAGTAAGTGGACTGATATGGTAGCAGAGATGATATTGTATGATTTTTGATGGCAGTTTATTGAAAAACAAAGATTTTCTCATTTTCCAGTCACATTTGTCATTGTGTTATGAATTTTAAGGGGTGAAATCCACTTCATTAGGAATATATACGTATTCAGGAATTTCACGTGAGATTTCTGTGTAGTCTTGCAAATTTGTGGAATTGACTAACAGAAAGCTGCTAGGTCAGTGGTCTCAAACTCAGTTCCTGGAGGGCCACAGCTCTGCAAAATTTAGCTCCAAATCACACCTGCTTGGAAGTTTCTAGTAATCCTGAAGACCTTGATTAGCTGGATCAGTTGTGTTTGATTAGGGTTGGAGCTAAACTGTGCAGAGCTGTGGCCCTCCAGGAACTGAATTTGAGACCAATGTGCTATGTGCTTCATACATTGCTACACTACTTGACAATAGATAATGGCCTGTTTTCGCCAACGAAATTTCACCAAAATGCAATCAAAAAGCTTAAAAAGACTTTTATCACCTTAGCTGTAGTAAATGCCATGAGACTAATTCTGTGATGTGAATAGCAGCATGCCTCCCTGAGAAATTCACTGGCAAAACAGCTACTTTATTATAATGAAATTTTTCCCATTTTTATGTGTTGCTAGAAACCTTTTCATGATTATTTCTGTCATATTCATGTATCCAGATACTTGTGGTATTAAACTTAAGTAGTTAGAAGACCTTGATTAGCTGGATCAGTTGTGTTTGATTAGGGTTGGAGCTAAACTGTGCAGAGCTGTGGCCCTCCAGGAACTGAATTTGAGACCAATGTGCTATGTGCTTCATACATTGCTACACTACTTGACAATAGATAATGGCCTGTTTTCGCCAACGAAATTTCATCAAAAAGCTTAAAGACTTTTATCACCTTAGCTGTAGTAAATGCCATGAGACTAATTCTGTGATGTGAATAGCAGCATGCCTCCCTGAGAAATTCACTGGCAAAACAGCTACTTTATTATAATGAAATTTTTCCCATTTTTATGTGTTGCTAGAAACCTTTTCATGATTATTTCTGTCATATTCATGTATCCAGATACTTGTGGTATTAAACTTAAGTAGTTAAATTTAGGCATAGTAACTTAAAGGAACAGTATGTAAGATTTTTTTAAATTAAAATATCCAAGAACCACTAGAACAGTGTTATATATTTTGCTGACTTGTGTACTTGCATTATCCCAAATGTTTCAAAGAATGTTTAAATCCAGAGAAATAAGCAATTTTAAAGGGGTCATATGATGCGATTTAAATTTTTCCTTTCTCTTTGGAGTGTTACAAGCTCTTGGTGCATAAAGAAGATCTGTAAAGTTGCAAAGACTAAAGTCTCAAATCCAAAGAGATATTCTTTATAAAAGTTAAGCGTTAACCACGCCTACCTAAAAAGGGTCGTTCTAACACGCCCCCACATGTCTACATCACAATGTGGGAAGATTTGCATAACGCCGCCCAACGTTCACGCAAAGAAAGAAGGCGTAACTTTTATTCTCGCTGTAGTATTGTTGCTGCCGCCATATCGTGAAGACGCTGTGTTTCGTTGTGAAAGCGAAACTACTTTGTTTGGCCTTCCAAAAGAGGACGATATCCGCTTCGTCATGCCTAGAGCTGATCCGTGCTGGTCGCTGAGGAAATACACCAACTTCATGCTGTGGCTCGCTGGATCGGCTTTCACTGTGGAAGAAGCGCAGTCCAGCCCGGGGTCATCACATTTGGTTGCCGGTTGCTTTGTAAAAAAATCGACTCGTTTTAAGAAAGGCGGGGCATAGAGGAGAAACAGTAATGTACAGTATGTGGAAAATAATGTGTTTTTTGATCCTTAAACCGCAAACTCATTTCATTACACCAAATACACCAAATAATGTTCTTTTTAGCAACATCATATGACCCCTTTAACTAGTGACACGGACCGTGTCTACAGTGTCATTGTGTCGCCTGCCAATGACGTCATAACCCCTCGTTTTGTTTTGTAGAAAATATGGAAACACCAAAGACGCTTTAATATGTACAGAGTAGCATTATAACAACTTTCAAATGGTATCTCGTATGATAAAACAGCGCCACTTTTTTCCCCCACATATGTGGTCGACTGGCATAATAAAAGCTCCGCTGATTTTGAGCCATGTGTCACGCTAGTTCAGTGGCCTCGTTTCGCTTCGATGGCTTTCAGCCTCACCCTGCTTCATTCTACTACATTAATAAATCAATAGCTCATCCATGAACATGATTTCTGCCTGAGTCCCGTCGGATTGCATCGGCTGTGGGGATGAAGACGACAGCTCCCATGATTCCACACTCAGTCACGGCGTCATCAAACTACGCCTTTTCTTCTTTGTTTATTTTGAATATGCGCCCTTTAGCGGCGAAAATGACACATTGTGCCTTTAATTTAGAGTTTGATCTTCGTAGTAGGTATTGGTAGTACACATGGCCATACAGTTTTTTTTATTTCAGGTCAGGTGTGATTTGAGAGGAAGTTGTCTGGTGTAAATGGTCACACCTAGAGGACAACCGGTCTGTGTCAGATACCTCAGGCTAAATAATCCTTCCTTAACCTTTAGTGGCACAGATCAGGCAGCCATCCCTGAAGCTTAAACACTAGCTGGAAAAACAGGGTCATTCTAGCTTCAAACCATTTTTGGCTTTCCTTTCACCATTGTTCTGCCATCTTTGGTCAGTATGTAAGGTTAACCTTTATTCTCTGTCCCCATCCTTGACCACATGACTGCCAGTAACACCAGAGGCTTGTCACTTAAGCTCCATTGTGTGATCATAACAACTGGATATGACATTGAGGCATTAAAACATTTTTATATATATATATCTGAAAACTGGGACAATTAAATTTCTTAATAACACAGTTTTGTATTATAAATATTTGTAATCTAATTGCTGTTGTGTTAAAGGGTTAGTTCACCCAAAAATGAAAATTAGGCTGTGTTTTACTCACCCCCGAGGCATCCTAGGTGTATATGACTTTCTTTTTTCAGACGAATCCAGTCGGAGTTAGATTAAAAATTGTCCTGGCTATTCCAAGCTCTTATCATTGCAGTCAGCGGGTGTTGCAGTGCTTCAGTCCAAAAGAAGTGAAATAAAAAACGCCCATCCATAAAAACCCGCTTGTGTCACTTCTGAGCGGCGCATGCGCAACGCTGACCTCATACGTCATCAGCCCGGAACTGCTTCAGTGTACAACTGTTGGCGCAAGCTAGATTAAAGTGATTATTACGTTTTGAATATGGATATTTGTCTTGCGTTTCACTACAGGAGGCCTTTGTTCACCCCCCGGAGCCTTGTGAGACACTTTTTATTTTTATGGATGGGCGTTTTTTTTAATTTCACTTCTTTTGGACTGAAGCACTGCAACACCCGCTGACTGCAATGATAGAGCTTGGAATAGCCAGGACAATTTTTAATAGAACTCCGACTGGATTCATCTGCAAGAAGAAAGTCATATACACCTAGGATGGCTCGGGGGCGATAGAGCTTGGAATAGCCAGGACAATTTTTAATAGAACTCCGACTGGATTCATCTGCAAGAAAGTCATATACACCTAGGATGGCTCGGGGGCGAGTAAAACACGGCCTAATTTTAATTTTTGGGTGAACTAACCCTTTAAGGGCGAATGGATTTCTGTGAACGGCACCTTATTCCAAACAAAAATGTAAATGTTTGTAATCTTTCATGAAAATTTAGTTATTTTTTCTGCTTCTGAAATGTTTGGTTAACAATACCTAGGCTAAGCTATTTAGGCTTTGTTTTCCAATTAACACATTGTTTATGGGATGTACAGTATATTGATACCATATTGGTTATTGGCTGATATTTAGTTTATTTAAAAAGTAAATAGCAGTTGTTTGTACATTTTAACATTTCATATTTAAAGCAGTTGATTTTAATATTTTTAATTTTTCACAAAATGGTATAGAATTTTAATATTAGTTAAACCTTATAGGTGAATTCCCTTCTTGTGCTCGTTGAATATACTGCTTTGCTACGAAATGTCACATTATGTAAGTAAAATGGGTTATGAATGCCATTTCATGACTTTTTTTTCTCTATTTCAGGAACTCCGTTTGTGGGTAAGGGAGGAATGCAGAGGCCTTGCACAGCTCTAAAGGTATATTTCAGTTTCTCTTATCTTAATTTCCTATAATACCTCTCTATCAGATACCAAATCAATTGATAATTGTGTGAATGTTATCATTCTTGTGGTCTATCTCATGATGCAGTGACGCAAAGCAACGGTTTTATGCTCATTGATATAGTGAAGTTCAAAGAGTTTTTTAAATACAAGCTTTCAGAGTGTCATGTCTTAGGCATTCCAAGCCACATGGTTCTTTTTGTTGTCATGGAAATGTAACGTTTGGCTTGGTCGGTGGATCCATGTGACTCACTGCTGCCAGGTTGATAGTTTTACTAGAGAATGCTACTTGCTAGTAGGAATTCGGATGACCCTTAGAACCAGTGTACACACACAAACACGCATTGAGAGGGTATTGCACATCACACCTAAATGAACTTGCCACCATTTGCATTGCAAATGTCTGAAGTGTGGATTTGCACCCAATCATCATTCAGAAGTAGCCAATATGTCATCTTTGGGGAGACATTTTCTCTGGCAGAGTAGAGATTTATTTTATGCTGCCCTTCTGAATCTTTTCCTGGCCACTGCAGGAGGAAGACAGACTCCCAGAATGCACTGGGCCTGAGGACGCCCACGAGCAGGCTGCTCCTCTGCCTCACACCCACAGTCAGTGTGCTGGTAAAAGCTCTTCTTCTCACTGTCCTTCTCTGCTTAATGTTTTAGTAACATACAGTACTAGACTAAAATACATTTAATTTCTCAGTTTAATATAAGATGATTTTCATAACACAAAATTAAAATTGTAAATGTTCTGTTACGTTTTTATTTCAATTTGAATTTATTTAATCTCTCTTTTGTGTGTCTGAACACACCTCCCCACTCACTCTACAGATGCATCTTTGAGCTCCGAGACGCCCGGTGAACAGGTGACCTCAGTCAAACACCTTATTTCATCTACTGAACCTTCCTCCCTTGTGAACTCGGAGATGGTATCTCCCTCTGCGGGCCAGCCTGAAGTTGGGGATTCCATTACAGGAAGGTACAATTTCCATATATCAGCATTTGCTTGTGGATTTTCTCTGGCTCACTGATATAAAGTGCTAGTTAATGATTCACCGAAAATAAATTATGGTCTGCTTTCATTCGAAATTCCTACCACACACCCAAAGATCACATTTGCTAGTCAAATGTGTCCTCTCTTCCTGTGTTGGGCTGTTTTGTGGAGACATATTAAGGAGTTATTACTACTGACAGAGCCTCACTTTGCATGCTTACCATGCACCTGTGTGGCCAAACTCGGACAGACACCCCATCCATGCTCTGCTGGAGCACACGAACCAAACATTGCACTTCCTGAGAGCAGCTGCATCCTGAAACATCAGAAAAACAAACCGACAATTTAGTGACAAACTTTCTCTTTCCTCCCTGGTCAGGACCCAGCAGCCCACTGCCACAAACGGAGGATCTGAGGGAGATCGTATGGCCACCACAGCCGACATGAGTGACTCGCAGGTCAGTTTGAGGGAAACCAAGGGGAAGCTTGTTGCGTTTGTAGCGCCGCTTGCCATTTCTTCCTCTTTCCCCTTTTGTGTTTCTGTTTCTTTCTAGTTCTGCCCTTCTCTCTTATGTTCTTTTGCAAAGAACTTCATGTTTGGTGGTCCTGTGTAGTGAGACAGTAGTTGTCTTTTCTGTTGTGCTGTAAAGAGGAGCCTGCAGTTGGGCGTTTTGGAGCGTTCTGGATGGCGGTAAGCAGGAATGACTGCTCGTGAGAGGACGTTCCTCTACCCTCTTATCAATGTGATGTGCCTGGGCTTTCGGTGTTAAGAATTGCTTTGTGCTGCTTTGTAACATTTATATAAGCACCTGACATCTGACAGACTGGTTTTGTAAGTGGAATTTGCCCATGTTTGTCCAGAATCAGATATTAACTGTTTTATTAATCTGTGAAACCAAGGGTTATTCTGACAGATGCACTGTGATGATTGCCCTATTGTTGACACTCTCTCGTGAACGTTATTAACTTATAAAAAGATGGGAGATATTCAGGTGAACTTGGAGTGCAACCAAAATAAACTGCACTTCTGATCTGAGGGCTTTTCTGCACTTCAATTCATAGGGAGTGGGCAGTGTTAAAACAGTATGTAGCATATTACTAGACATCGGTGTAGGTAAGGGATAAATCAACTGTCCTATAGCATGTAGGCCTATTGGTTTTAAAGAAATGCTTCATATTCGGGTCCAGCCTAAATGCAGAAAAGCTAGTTTACACTGCCATTCAAATGTTTGGGGTCAGTAAGATTCTTATATATAACTTTCTCCAGAGTGCTCAGGACCTCAGACTGGGCCGAAGGTTTACCTTCCAACCAGCCAATGACCCTAAGCACACAGCTAAAATAATGAAGGAGTGGCTTCACAACAACTCTGTGACTGTTCTTGAATGGCCCAGCCAGAGCCCTGACTTAAACCCAATTTAGCATCTCTGGAGAGACCTAAAAATGGCTGTTCACCAACGTTTACCATCCAACCTGACCGAACTGGAGAGGATCTGCAAGGAGGCATGGCAGAGGATCCCCAAATCCAGGTGTGACAAACTTGTTGCATCTTTCCCAAAAAGACTCATGGCTGTATTAGATCAAAAGGGTGCTTCTACTAAAGTCACAGCAAAGGGTCTGAATACTTAGGACCATGTGATATTTCAGTTTTTCTTTTTTAATAAATCTGCAAAAATGTCAACAATTCTGTGTTTTTCTGTCAATATGGTGTGCTGTGTGTACATTAATGAGGAAAAAAAATAACTTAAATGATTTTAGCAAATGGCTGCAATATAACAAAGAGTGAAAAATTTAAGGGGGTCTGAATACTTTCCGTACCCACTGTATGTATATATATATATATATAATGTATTTAGCAATGATGCATTCAATTTATCAAAAGTAAAAGTAAATGAATGCTGTTCATTTAAACTTTTTATTCATCTAAGATATTAATATTAAATGTTAAGAAGCACAACTATTTTCAACATTGATAATAATAAGAATGTGTCTTGAACACCAAATCAGCATATTAGAATGGTTTCTGAAGTATCTTGTAACACTGAAGACTGGAATAATGGCTACTGAATAGTCAGCTTTGCATCAAAGTAATTACATTTTAAAATATATTCAAATAGAAATATTATTTTAAATTGTGGTAACATTTCACAATATTAGTTTTAGCTGTATTTTTGATCAAATTAATGTAGACTTGTTTTAAATGCATGAAAAATCTTAATAACCCTTAACTGGTTTCTTAACATTTTTTGCTTTAGTATCTATATTTTGTACTGGACGTCAAGTGCAATAAATGTTGTGATCTGCCTAATTTGGCTAGCTTCTCTCAAATTACAGATTGGGCTCCCAGCCTTTGACGTCAACAGAAAATATGGGAAGCTTTTCATAAGCCTATTTATTTTGCTATCCTAACTTCACAAAGTGCAACTAACCAATGAATCATGCATTTGTTTCTTCCCTGGTGATTGTGACTCAGTCGGAGCAGACCTGCAACAGTTTTTGGTGTTTTTTTTTGTTGGTTGTTTAATTGTTATTTTCCTTGTGTTTTTTTTAACTTGGTGATAAAATATGTTGCTCAGGCTGTGTGTGTGGTTTTTCATTAGTATGTTTGGAATAAGTATAGCACTTTTTCACTCCCACTTCAATGAACTCTGCCAGTACAAGTGCTCTCCCCCTCCATCCCTCCCCCTCTCTTTCTGTCACTCCCTCTCTCTCTCTTCCTGTCTTTTCCATCCTCTCTCTCTCGCGCTCTCTCTCTCTCTCTCTCTCTCTCTCTCTCTCGCTCTCTCTCTGCCAGCTGTAGAGCTCTCACACACATTATGTAAGTATCTAGCACTTCTCTCTCTGTAAAGCAGAGCGTAGCTCTTATATTTCATCTGCCATGTCATGGGACAGGTATGGAAATGAATGCGCGTGTGATGTTTATTTGCATATGTAGGTAGTTTACACAAGTATGTGTGTTGCTGTTCAGAGTGTCACTGGGTCACAATGCCATTCTGTTGTCTCCTATAGAGACTGAGTGAGGGACATCTTTCTAAAGTGTCTGCAAAATCGGACAAGTGAGTATTTTTCCTCTTTGTGCAACTGATTATTTGAATGTATTTATTATGCAGGGGCTGCTGGATTGAGTGTGTTAGTGCTCTAATGTGTGTCTCTTCAAGAGTTGCTTGTACATATTGTTAATTATTTGTTTAGGAGTCCCTTGTTGCCAGTAGCAGAGGAAGAGGAGGCCATGCCAGAGGCGGCGGAGGTGATATCAACTGGGGTGAACTCACCAGGTAGGAGGAAATACACTTGAGGACGTTCCCAGTTGACCTTTTAAAAAGAGATGTCAAATGTACTGCTTCTGACGACTGCAATTGAATACACTTCTTTGTCAAAATGAAGTTGATTAATGGAAATGCAGATTTGCCAATGTCTTTTTTTTTTTTTACGTTAAAATTAATCTATGAACAATATTGACAGGAAAAAGAGAAAATGGGAACTGTTGTTCATTTATTTGTTTTCATTTCTGACTGATTACTTGAATATTTACATAAGAAAACTTAAAGCAATGTGTTCATAATTGACAAAAAAAACTTGAAGGCTGCATGCCATTGTTCTAATTTAATTTGTTAATTTATATTCGTATTTTGCTTTTTAAATGAGTGTGTTCAATAGCAATTTGGCTTTTGCTATGGTTTTGAAATCGATAGTGACAATTGTGAAATCTCACAGAAATTGCTATTGGTTACTAACATTTTGATATTGTGACCAACCCTCAGCATTAGCATCAGCAAATGTAAATATAAGATGACAGCTTAAATGAAAATGAGAAATATTGCTTTGGCAGCTTAACTGAAATGAAAAATGGAAGGGCTAAAATTACTAAAAATGTACATTTAAAGATAAATGGAAATATTTAAAAGAAACATACAAAAACTTAAAATTACTAAAACATTAAAATATAAAAATAAAAGCTAATTAAAAATATGAATATATACTACAGTATAATAACTCTGGTGAGCTGCATTGCTATCTGCAACCTACAGTACATAAAGAGCATCCTAACTAAAATGCAAATTAATAACTGATTTAGAACCCTACGTTCGGTGTGTAATTTGTACGCCATTACCAATTGCAGTGCATGAGACTTTAGTCACAATTTATCCCAACAGAGATTGTTGTTAGCATACTGCTAAAGATAGCTGTGCATTACTCCAAAAAATTTATAGCACACAAATATTAGGGGAAATCCATTTTTATTTATTACATCAAACTATTTTTTTAATTATACAATTTATTAGTAGTGAATTAAGTCTACATCAACATTTCTCTCACCTTGTCTGCTTGGCAGCTCACTAGGTTTTGGAGCAAAGTTGCTCTCTAAGTGTCTTTCTTTATTTTCCTTTTTGGATAAAGGCAAGAAGACAGTGGTCACATCTGATTCAAACTCTGCAGCCTCAGCTGACTCATTGAAGGATCCTTCTGAAAAAGCGAAGGACATGACCTTTGACCCCACTGTCAATGAGGGTAATTTTCCAACAGTCCTTGCTGTGCAAGGCTCCAAAAAAGACCCTCTGACTCTGAGGAACAAGCTCAAGAAGGTAAGAGCCACTTTCACCAGAGTCTATGAACTAAACAAATACAACAAAAGCCCGAAGAATCTGGTCCTACCTGCTTTCCCAAATCTTTTTTTAATTACATAAGGTGATTGTGTTCTTATTAATAAACATTCTTAACATGCCATCTGATGCCCAGTGTAAACTATTGTAATGTGCTGATGAAGTTTACATACCTGTGTAGTACATTTAAAAAGAAATGGTCTTCCTACAGGAAATGAGCAGTATGGAAGCCATTGAGGAGCAAAAAGCTCAGGAGGACGGCGAGCCTTCAGTGGCCACAGAAAAAGAAGGTAGATAAGCGGTCTTTCTCTCTCCCTGTCTGTCTCTTTCTCATCTAGTTTAGCTTGTTTCCTCAATGTCAGTCTCCTCTTCCTCCCTCAGGTGACACATCTGTCATCTCTGAAAATGCCAGCGATTCCACCAAAGATGACAAGAACAGGTTATAATGCTTTGTGTACTGAATTTATATCCATACATTTTAATCTGATTCAAGACTCACTTGACATATTCATGTACCCATTAATCTGAAATGTGCATTTCATCTGCAGCCTGTCGCCAAGTGACAAAGAGATAGAGGTGAGTTTTTTTTCTCTCCATTCAGTCCAATTTCAATATAGAGTGTAACTATATTTGATAGATGGTAATAATAATTGATTGTCTTGATAGGATTTGGCAGGGTTATGCATATACATTTTCATCATAATTGGTAAATTACAAAGAATTCTGCAGAATTGGTATAAAGATGTTACAGACCTGAATTAGATTCTGAACTAGCGATTAAGCTGAAATATTTACAAATGTGTATCCGTTTTCTCAGTGATGTTTCTGGAGTGTTTACCATGTGCTCTCCCGCCAGGCGGAGTTCCACCGGCTCTCTCTGGGCTTCAAATGTGACATGTTCACCCTGGAGAAGAGGCTACGCCTGGAGGAACGCTCGCGGGACCTGGCTGAGGAGAACGTCCGGAAGGAAGTGAACAGTTGTAAAGGTCTGCTGCAGGTCAGTGTCATTTTGGGCACTTTCTGTTGACATAAAATCATGTATATTTTATCAATGCAAGGAAGTAGTGCTTTTTTCAGGGCATTGTATTTTTACAGAAAATTCTTACTGAAAATTTCTTCCAAAATTTGACCTCAATTCATATGTTTGAACAGGTAGCTTGAACATAACACTGTGTTTTGGTATATAGGCCCTGATTCCACGATGTGAGGAAGATAACCAGTCCATGGAGATCATCCATCGTCTGCAAAAGAACCTGGAAGTCCTCATTCAATCCATGACCAGAGTGTCCAGCCGTTCAGAGATGCTTGGGGCCGTTCATCAGGTTTGTGTGTTTACTCAGGCCCTTCAGAGTGCTGAAATGGTCCTCTAAAGCCAAAGTTAACAAAGAAGCCTGCTTGTTTACATCTCAATTTCCTTGCATGTGTAGGAGACCAGAGTGGGTAAAACGGTGGAGGTGATGATTCAGCATGTGGATAACTTGAGGAGGATGTATACCAAGGAGCACGCAGAGCTGTTGGAGCTCAGAGAGAACCTCACGCCGAATGAGAGGTCCTTTGGGTCCCACACTGAGAGGGGTAAGTTGATATTATTCTTATTAAAAAAATACTTGTGTAAAAAAAAAAAAAAGTAATATCACATGGGGTTTCTTTTGTGATTGCAGATGATTTCAGAAACAAGAAGCAGTCAACTGCGAACATTTTCAAAGTGAGTTAAGGCACAAAACGCACCACTTCAAGGTCGTGAATTCAGCTTGTGGAGTTATTTACTGATTTAAAAAAAAAATGCTTAAAGTTGTAATAATATTTTACAATAATACTGTATTTTATAAATCAAATAAATGTAGCCTAGGAGAGCATAAGACTTCTTTTAAAAACATAATCTTACAGACTCCATGCTTTTGAATGGTGGTGGTGTGCATGTAATTTAAAAAATGAAAGGCAATACAATTGGCAGAATGGTTGCTTGTGTTAATCGGCCAATCAGTTATTGGCAGACCTCAAAATGGTCATATATTGGCCAACTACTCTGCCTGACCAATATATATCAGTCTATCACAGACCTCCTGTTTGTCTTGTTTATGTACTTTGTCAAACATTGCTTTTAGCAACAGCTGTCATTTTTCACATTCCTCTAAATGTTCAATGTTTTCTCTTCAGGTCGCCTCAGCCGTCTCACCTATTCAGACTCATTTTTATTTATTTTTTTTAAATGTGCTTTTTATAACCTGCTATTTTCTAATGAAAATATGGCCCAGAACATATTCTACACACAAGTATGCCAGTGCTTCTGGCTATGCAAGCTTGATTTTGTATGTTATTGATTCCAAAGGAATGCATGTTAAATATGTACAATGAAACCACACTGTTGCGTTTTCTTGCTTGTACGGAGTATGTTTCTGGGCTAAGGATTACAATAACATGAACATTTTACTTGCTCCTTCCCTATTTAGCATAACAGAACACCTTGCTTCCTGCTGCTGAAGATATGCTTGTACTTTTCTTTTTAAACATTTCTTTCACTTTCCATCCCAGCCCCAGCCCCAGCCCAACAGATCACACTCCACCCAGTCTGACCGATGGGAGGCCTGCAGTTTCCAGAGGCACCAGGGGCATTTGGATTTGGGTGGCCTTGCTTGTAGTTCTAGCTGTTCTACTGGCCCTGCTGGCGAGCCTGATGTTACAGCCGGCAGTAGATGCAGCACCTGTGGGCACCGGGGACTCCTGGATGACCATCCAGCAGCTTCTGTGGCCCTATACTGGGCTGAGGCACAACGGCCAGCCCCCTGTGTGACACCAGGGGGTCGGCAAGGCTGCAGTGGCCGGTTCTGACATTCAGAAAAAACTCTGGCTACAAGAGCTGTGATGCAACACTGCTGCCTGTCCTTCTAACAGAACACTTTGTGACTATTTCTTACCGAAGGTAAAAAGAAATGTGGGTGTCTCGAGAGAGATGTGCTGAAAACTGCAGACTGCTTGGATGCTGTGTACACAAACCGTAGGGTTGGCCACGTATGTAATAAGCACTTTTATGAGACAGTCAGGGCAAGCCAATCACACGGTGGATATTTGGATTGGAGTGAGATGAGTACACTGCAACAGTGTGAATGTCAAACATCATATACCGGTTGCCCAAAAAGGCTGCCTTTTTTTTAAACCTTTTGAAATTGATCAGTGTATTTTTATTGGCAGTTTGAAAGAGTATTGCGATGAGACCTTTTTAAAAAAATGTTTTTTTTTTCTTTTTGTTAACTTATTTTACAGTTTTATGCAGTAGATATTATTAATTGTTACAAACACATGGTTTTTATCCTCATAAAGCTGTTGGTTTGGTGTTCATTGTAAGAAGTTCATACACTTTTGTATGTTCCAAAGAGGGGGGAGAGAAACTTTGCACAATAAAAGAAACCGATCCAACTCATGGATCAACTCATACAGCTTCAGTCAGTATGTGTGTTTGATACTCATGCTTGGGTGTTTTTATTTTAGTTGTTCAACCAAAGCTGGTGGTAGAAAATGAAGTAAATGAACCATTGCCAAGTAGCAACAAATTCAACATGAGTATAACAATTTATAAATCAAGGAGAATCTCACCAAAACATGAGTCATATTTCAGCTACAAAAAAAAAGTTTTTGTATTTATTTGTAATATATTTTTAATAGAATTTATAATAACATCAAATTTTTTTTTTAATTAAATACACTTGCACATTTCTGTAATATTCTGGCGTTTAGGAACAATTTCTCCATGAAAGATTTAGTGTACATGCTCTCTTCTTTTGTGGTGGTATCTATCTACTGTATTTATATTTATTGCTTGTTATAAATAATCATTCAATAGTATTATTTGGGTCCACCTGCTTATAAATAATTTTACAGGGTGTTATTACATATCAGCATATCATCAAGATGTAGCAATGACGGTTCAAAACAGGTATCAAATGTTTTAGATATTAGTGTGTATGCATGTAGTCTTTCTGGATGCATATGCTTTCTCTTCTCAGGAATATGTGAGGACACGTGTTGCACACAGGAGGCTCTGTACATTGTCTGTGTAGAGATAGTGAGACTGACGGACTCTGGCTTGGCCCTCGGTGCTCATGTCCTGTCTGAGCATGTGCAGAAAGGTGGAGTGGAACTCGCTGCCCTCGGCCAGCTCAGGAGAGAAGCTGTCGTCATGTTCCTTCATCTTCAGATGCTGGTTCCTCTGAGCACCCAGCAGGTAAAGAGACCATGCCTCCTCAGCCACAGGCCTGGCCTCCAACTGTTCACAGGCCTACGGAGTCAAAAAGATAAAGGTCAGAGGTACTGCTTTGTATACAGTAGTTCAATAGTGCTTCAGTCAGTCTGAGTGTATGACACACCTGAAGAACAAGGTGCTCTTGTCTGCATTGTGTGTTCCAGCGGCTCCAGGAAAAAGCCACGGCTGAGGACATTAGAGCCATTTGTTCATACACTGTGTGCTCTATTAATGGGTCCTAGAAGTGGAAAGAACATGGATAAAAATATTATTACATCATGGATTTGTATAACTGGTCTATTTAAAAAAAAAAAAAAAATTAAACCCTACACTTTCAAATAAGGGTCCAAAAGGAATGTTCTACATCGACCTTTTGCCACAATGAAGAACCCTTTGTGCAATACAGTTTACGGACCGGTACTTCATATTAAAAGTTCATGAAACCATCTATGCCAATACAGAAAATGTTTTTGAGAGTGAAAGGCAATTCAGCCCCTTGGTTACCTTTGGGTTGATGCTGACATACTTGTCTGAATACTCATTCACAAATATATTGATTCCAGCTCTCCGCATGGCCTTCTGCAGATCTGAGGGGCTCATCCACTTCCCTAGAAGATGATCTAGGTTCTTTCTTTCCTCCATGTGCAGCATACATTGCTTACCCTGAGAAACGAAAAGCTATCGATCAGTACTGGTGATGCACACAGAGAGAACCATTTTTTTGTAGCCTTCGACATGTATGGAAAACAGCCTGGCCTTGAGTTGATGCCATACTGCTGGTCTTAGTTAAATTAAATTGCTCAATGACAGGACGCTTTTTTTGGATCCATTAATGTATTCAGAAATCTATTAAAAATGCAGTTCAAGCATGCAATAATTTGAGTGCATCTAGTCCGATATATTAACTTTTTGGTCACTTTATTTTAAGGTCCAATTCTTGCTATTAACAAACCATTAACTGAGACTTTTGCATCAAACTTCTAATTTGTTGCTTATTAATAGTAAGTTAGTTGTTATTTTTAAGTATTGGGTAGGATTAGGGATGTACAATATGGTCATGCAGAATATGTGCTTTATAAGTACTAATAAACAGCCAATACATTAACAATAGGCATGCTAATAAGCAACTAGTTAATTGTAAGAATTGGTCCCAATACTAAAGCGTTAACTTTTATTTTGCAAAATGTCATATGGTGTGACATTTCTGATAATCATTACTTAATTCATTATATTTGTTACTTACCTTAAAAAATTGTGTATACGTGTATAAAATATAGTTTTCAAAATCATTATATGAAACCAACATGAATACAGAAAAGTTCTATATTTCTATGTTTTAAAGTAGATATTTAAAAATCTTGACTCAAATGAAGGTGTAGAACCATCTCCAGGATGATCAGAAGAAATGGACAGCCCCTGAGTTAAATATATGAGTGTCACAGCAAAGGGTCTGAATACTTAGGACCATGTGATATTTCAGTTTTTCTTTTTTAATAAATCTGCAAAAATGTCAACAATTCTGTGTTTTTCTGTCAATATGGGGTGCTGTGTGTACATTGAGGAAAAAAAATTAACTTAAATGATTTTAGCAAATGGCTGCAATATAACAAAGAGTGAAAAATTTAAGGGGGTCTGAATACTTTCCGTACCCACTGTATGTATATTTTTGGACAGGGCCTCTCTTGCCTTGACAGTGATGCTGACTTCAATAAGAGCTCCAGTGATTGTGAACAAAGCTGAGTCTTGGCCCAGAGGCCTCAGCTCCCATGACTGGAAAGGCATGTTAGTGTATGACTCCTGCAGTAATGTGAAGGCATAGAATGCATTCATCTTAAAGGAGATGCTGCGAGTCTCTGCGTCATAGGATGCCTCAGAAATGCAGTCTGCCCGCCAGTGCTGACCTGCAAAAACAGGTGTGCAATAAACAGGCATGCGGTAAAATACTAAGATATGAAAATAACGGAGGCTAAAGTAGAGGCTGTATATACAATACACAATCTGATGCTACATATGTGTGGTGTGAATTGTTCACCGATAGGATCCCAACGTGCCACATGTGGATCCTCCAGAAACAAAATTGAGTCAGGCAGAGCTACAGTGACCCCTACAGGCAACGAGGCAACAGTGCTACTGTGTTCATCCAGCCTCACTGAGGTAGAGCTCTGAGCTCGAGACTGCTCTGTGGAATAGGGGAAGACCTGGAGACCGGTTTCTAACAGCTATGAGGAGGCACAACAGTAAATGACAATTAATGCACATTATTCTCTTTGATCTCTTGCAGACTGTCCCAGATTACATCCAAAGATGTACCTCTCTCATTTCCCAGCTCTTCACTATGTGAGACTGAGGTGGTAGATGGAACACATCAAAGTAGAAGACTCCACCCAGGGGTGTGAACTGCTGCAGGTCCACTATATGTACGTCAGCACTGTCAATCACAGGTTCAGCTGGTGATGAGTCTGAACCATTTTGATCTAGAGACAAGTTAAGTTATCAGAAGCTAG